CTCCAGCTCATTTGTCTCAGTTACTCTTTTCTGTATTTGGACATGTGATGAGATCTTTTGTTGTTTTCCTGGACATTTTCAATAGTTAGATGCATTTTTAATGACTAATTAAATGTATGTTAAGTTTACTGACTGTCTCCTACTAGATAATATGATATTTAATTTTTGTTTGACGTATTTAATTGCAAAAGAAAAGTCACAGTTTATAATTTTCCTCGTAACAAATACTCTGAATTCATTGTGGTTTTTTTTGGTTTGTTTTTATTTTTGCTATTATGTTGTGCAAACAATTTTTCCCTCTCTCTATCCCCTTAATGAACTAATTTTGCCAGTGCCACATTTTAATATTCATGTAAGCTTGGAAAAGCTCAAAAACTGTAGGAGAATACCTGTATGAGTTATGCATTCTGGAAAGCTAAATTTGAATTAAATAATATTCAGTATAAGGTGTGTCTTAGTTATCTAGTGCTGCTATTACAGAAATACCACAAGTGTTTGTCTTTAACATACAAATCTATTTTCTCACTGTTTGGGAGGCTAGAAGTCCAAATTCAGAGTGCTGGCTCTTTGTCAACTCTGGAGAAAGATCCTTGTCTCCTTTCAGCATCTGTAGGCCCAACATTCCTTGAAGATCTCCATGCATCATGGTATCAACCTTCCTATGTATTAGGAGCTTCACAGTGCAGGGACCCCAGCTCCACAGGATATAATTCACTCCTGGCTCTTCTGGAGTAGTAGGTCCCTTTGAGTTTTGCTTGCTTGTTTAATCTCTTTTATATATCAAAAGAGATTAACTCAAGATACAACCTAATCCTGTATGTTGCATCTGACCTCATTAATACCATAGAAGTGAGGATTTACAACACACAGGACAATTATATTAGATCAGGGCTGATCACATCAGATTGCGTCATGGGAGTGATTACATTTTAATAGATCTCATCTTGGAGGTGATTACTACATCTTAACTGTTAAATCACTGAGAATCATGGCCCAGCTAAGTTGACACACAATCTAAACTATCAAAAGGGGCAATGTAGTATCCCTTATATTTATTTAAATCCTTTTTTATAAATTGGAAAAATATCTGATTGATATAATCTACACTTAAAAATCTACCTTGATCTTCTCAAAAGAAATGTGCTTACACAATATTTATGCCACAATATTTAGTTAAAGTGTTATCATTTCCAACAGATGAATGGCATTGCCAAAGACTGCTCTTTATAATTTGTGGGCACTTTATATGGAGAATCAAAGTGAGGTTTCATAGTGATGATTTTGAATTCCATTATTTGCCCCTAGGTCACAGAGTAGACTCTTTTCCCTTTTAGTTTATGACCACTGTTTTATAGTGAACATGAAAACTTTCAGACTGAAAATAATTTTGATTGAAATTTACTAATCTCTTTTTTCTTAAACCTTCCCCACTGTGTTTTTTAATGTAAAATAAGATTTCTCCATAAAAGTAGAAGCCCTAAAGAGCCTTCTGAAGTTATCAATATAGAGAACACCACAGTATAAGAAGCAGCAATGCCTATAGAAGGAGGAAAATCTGATATGGATAGGATTGGTCTCTTCAGTGAGATGGAATACATTACAGTGGGCGATAAATATGTGTCACCATTTAATCGTAAGTATGTTTGCAGCCTAATGCATTGATATTTTCTATATGAAATTTTTGATTTCATATTTAAGCAAGTAATATTTTTCTATGGTCTATATTTTAAAGTATTAGTCTTAAATTTGATTAAACTTTTGAAAGTTTGATAGATTACAGTTAAGGAAAAACTTCATTTTATAAGAGCGAGAGACTCATTTTATTGAACTGCTCTTTTGCCTTGTTCTACATAATTTTGCTTCTTTCCAAAAGTACATGGCGATTTTATCCCAGAATATTTTGTTTTTAATTGTTTTTCTTAAATGGACATTCCATGTGCAAAAAACATTTATTTACGTTTGCATCCAAGAATGCCATCCATGGTCACTTACTTTCCTGAAAAATGAAACAGCAGAGGGATTTTTAGAAAAGTTATAAATGCTAAAAAGAGCTAAAATAGTCAGTTTTTGACTATCCAGTGACTACTATGTAACATTAAAAAATAAAAAAAAGCAAGGTATGCAATAGTCTGTATAGTAAACTGTTATTAAAATATTTTATGAAGACATTCTTAAGTTACTAGGATACCAATATTTCATTGTGTATATATGCCACTCTTTATCTGTTGAGGAACATTTGGGTTGTTTTTAAATTTTGACCATAATGAATTAAGTTGCTTGTGGACATATATACTCATTTATCTCAAATACGTATTTAGGAGGACTGTGGACCACTTACATCTCACACAGAGTTTTCTCAGACATAGATGAGGAAGCTTTCAATACAGTTTTCAATGAGCAGTTTGAAACAATGTTTTATTGTCCAATTCACATTTTGAAATTTCTGAGTTATTTTTCATGCCTGAAATTAGGATATTCCTAATTTATTTTTAAAGGACCCTTTAACGAGGCTGCAAGCAAGAATAAACAGATGCTACCAGGGGGATCCAAAGAAATGTCAGATCTCCAGCAGGGTTATTTTGATCCTCATTTTGTAAGGATTTTTGAAGGTGAAGGCTACGTAAACCTGAATCAAGTGAGACGTCGGCATAAAATGGAAGAAGCCAAAAGAAACCTAGGCAAAGCCTTCCTCCCTAGTAGTGGAGAAAAAAAGTCGTAAGTGTTCAGGGGAAAATATCCTTAAACAGATATCCTACATCCTTTTCTCTTTGAACCTACATGAAATGTTTTTCTATAGGGCTTGCTTATGTAAGGTTCATTTTTAAAGTATGACTACTAGAATAGTTTGTCTGAAGTGGAGATAGTTATATTGGATGATATAGACTGAGGTAATTTTGGTTAACTAGGCTCTCAGTATCATTAAATTATGGATTATCTCTTTCATTGTTCTTTATAAGTTTATATAATAAAAGCAAATTAATAATGAAAATAAGCTTGTTCAAAAACCTTGAAAAAGTCAGGTTTTGGGGAAAAAGTTACCATCAGTAACATATCTGTACCTTTGGCTATTTTCCCTCCTTTATTTCAAACTTTAAAAATGTATAAATAGAAAATATGAAATGAAACAAAGCCTTTAAAATTTTTTGATAAATAATTTATTAGAGATACTTTCTTTTAAGGGCAACTCTCCAGCAGGGTGGCAGCATCAGCAGCCCTGTGCTCCCAAACCCCATAAAAAACAAAACAATTATCAAAAAGAAACAGAAACTGGTAAAATCAGTTTTCAGAACCTCGGTAAGCATCTAGAGGGTTATAACAACTAAGTGAACGTTGAATCAAGAAAAAGGTCACTTCTGTATGGTAGGAAAGCTTGTTTTGGTTTTCTGCTTGCCTGCATTCCACCTCCTGACTTGAGATGACCATTTTAAAGCTGTGGTGACTCGTGCTCCCAGACAGGAAGCTTGGTCTCTGACTCAATAGGGAGCAGAGGAGGCTTTATTCACAAATTATGGTGTGTGTCTGTTTTAACCTGTCTCGAGGCTACTAAACCAGGTGTTTGTCTTAGTGAGGCTGGTCTTAAAGTTTACACAGGACTGAGGAACTGAGGGTAATGCCCGAAGACTATAATCATCTGTAGCTCTCTGGAGCTAA